CCAGACTCGGGCGCGCCCCCTCGCGTGCGTCCTCAGCCACTCGGCGAGCACCGGGTGCGGAACACGGTCACGACAGCCAGGTTCCCCGCCGGCCGGTCCTCTCGCGGTTCCACGGGTTTCAGGGAGCCCGGTCGGTGCCAGGCGAAACCAGCAGCGGAGAATGCGAGGAGAGGGCTTCGGTGCGCCCGGAGCTGTGCTCACCGACGTCTCTTAAACTCCGCCAGCCCGCGGGGGCAGGCACTGTCGCCATCTCAATTTAAGATGGGGATGCTGAGGCTAAAGGTCTGGGCAGGAGTTTGCCCAAAGTCACAGAACCAGGAAGTGACCGGGCTAAGAGTCAAACCTAAGTGGTCTGTACTTAGCCGATAGGAGGCCTGGGGAGACAGAGCCTGGGCTTGTATTGATAAGCTTACTGGGTGCTTCCTTGCATAGTTGTGTCATTCAAACCATTCAAACCTCACAAAAGTCTCAAGCAGGAAGGCACCATTAACTCTTTTCTACAGATGGGGAAAACTCTCAGGGAAGTGAAGAGTTTGGCCAGATCTCACAACTAGAAACGGGTTTCTAGCCCAGGACAACAGACACTGAAGACTGCTCTCCTAGCCACTACCCTTCCCTATTACAGATGAGGCAACTGAGCTTAGGAGGAGAAAATGGTGTTGCAGAGGGTATAGCAGGTCACCTTGTGCTCCTGCCTTAACTCTAATGAGAAAATGCCCCAGGTAGACTGGGTTCCAGGCACTCTGACGGCTGTCTCTGCAGAGCTCACTGCCTTGTGCTAGAGCTGTGGGCCCACAGCCAAAAATTCGTCAGTATATTTGTGCAAAGTCATAGATGCAAACAAGGTACTTCAAGATGTCCAGCTCTTACTGCCTGGGTTTCTCTCACTGTATTTGCCCAACGAAGCTTTGTGGCCATGGCCAAGGCATTTCCCCAGGCTAGCCCTCAGCTTCCTCATGGGTAAAAACCAAGAACATTTTATTCCATTATCTACCCAAGGCACCTTCTAACATATACAGGTAAAAAAAAAAAAAAAAAGCTATAGCCACCTCTCTGCCTTGCCTCCCTTCAGAAGGGATATGCCTGAGTAGGATTAAGTGACAGGATGGCACTCAGGGCAATGCCTCCCAAACTAGCTCAAGTTTTAACATCCATCAAGACAGGATTCCACCCTGACCATTAACCCCAGTGGGATAGCATTCTTCACATGTCCTCTGCAGAGTCTATTGTATTTGAATACCCGGGATGAGGAAGAAAGAGGATTCCAAAGTGACATTCTGACACCCAGTAAAGCCATTTGAAAACTGTCTTTACATATAGAGCATATTTTGCAGACTGTTGTCAAATCATGATGGGAATCATGGCTCTAGAGAAGGAAACATACATACAAATCATTCTGTTCACTTCATAAGGATACCATTCTCCCTCTCTACACTTATGGCCATAGCTTTCATTACAATGTTAGTCCCAAAAGCAGGGGATTCAAGTCTAGCACCAATTCCTCTAACTGAAGCTTGAGTACCCAGAAGAAGTAAATGCAAATCATTCAGCATATCAAAACAGTTCTTCCCTTCTCTGCACCTGTTTATTTGCATAATGTGTGTGAGTGTGTGTGTGTATATATATATATATATATATCTCCATCGATGGAAATACAGATGCTCTATTTTGCCCAGGAATTTGTAGAAATATAATGCAACAGTGATATTACTAATAACTAACACTTATTGAATGTTTATGATGTGCTAGGCCCTGAAATATTGCATTATTTAAATTTCCCAGGAACTGATGAGAAGGTACTATTACTCCTGTTTCACAGATGTGGAAACTGAGGGTCAGGACAAATAAATCACTATAAGTTCCATGACTAGAAAGTGATGAAACTGGGTGGAATCTGAACCTAGTTCTGCTAGATAAGCATATTTTACCAAAAAAAAGAATGTATATAGCATCTCTTGAATTCAAATGCTAACATACTGATTCATTCATTCAACAAATATTTATTGGATACCTACTTTGTTTCAGGTCTTGTGCTAAAAATAGGGCAGTGAACACAAAAATAGGTGGAGCACAGTGAGGCCAGGGGTCTTGCCGTGGCATTGTTGGTGACCTTGTAGGCCACAGTTAACTAATGTGGATTTTATTCTAGGAGCAATGGGAAGATTGGTGAAGGAGAGAGTAGTAAGGGTCCCATGCTAAAAATCTGTATTCTCGGGAACTACTCTACCTATGAAGGGATAATGAACTGGAAGTGGTAAAAATGCATGAAGGAAGAACAATCTGAAAGGGGCCATTTGGCAATAGAAGAGATGAGAGAAGTAGATGGACTGATCCTCCTCAAGCTAAAATACTTGGGGTTGTAAATAGTTACGTGACTATAAAATTTTAAAACCAACTGGGTGGGGAGGCCCATGTTTATAATCCTAGCAACTCAGGAGACTGAGGCAGGAGGATCACAAGTTCCAGGACAGCTTGGATAACTTAGTGAGATCCTGTCTCAAAAGGCCTAGATGGGGTTGGAGATATGGTTCAAGCAGTAGCTGTGGTTCATGCTTGGGGCACTGGGTTCAATCCTCAGCACCACATAAAAATAAAATAAAGATGTTGTGCCCACCAAAAACTAAAAAATAAATATTAAAAAATTCTCTCTCTTTAAAAAAAAAAGGCCTAGGGATGTGGCTCACTGATTAAAAGCCCTGGGTTCAATTCCCAGCACCACAAAAATAAATAAATAAAACTTCAAAACCAGCTAGGAGTCAACTGGTATCTGAAAAGTTTATAACATACTGGGGCTCTCAAAATAAACTGCAAGTCTGAAACAAAGAATGATTTTCTAGAAGAAAAAGCTTTCTTTTGCTATTCTACAAATAATTTGGTGTTTACAATCCAATTTACTAGTCTGCAAGCTTAGCGAAGCCTAAGAAACAGGTAAGTACTAATCCAGGGGTCAAGTGAGACAGTGAAAATCTCTAACCAATAATTACAAAGGTGATTTGTAAGCCTACCATGGTAGAAGCTGGAAAACTTTGACCTTCACTTAGGCTAATTAAGGGAGATGGGGGGCCCAATGAGCAAAAGGCACAGCATGGCTAGAGTCTGGAAGGTGACTTGAACTTCAGCTTCCAACTCTGAAAAAACATTTTGTAAAGATTAAATGAGCTCCTTCTGTTTGTAAGTGATGACTGGGTATTCCCGCAATTGTGTGAGATGTGCCTCCCTCTAAACATATTACAGCATAGGCACATTACCCATCTGAAGTGAAGGAAAAAAAAAAGATTAAATAAGATAATAAATTAAATAAGATTAAAAAAAAGATTAAATAAGATAATAAACTGCCTGGCCCTCAATAATTATTATTTGGGCTGGGGTTGTAGCTCAGTGGTAGAGCACTTGCCTACCATATGTGAAGAACTGGGTTCGATTCTCAGCACCGCACATAAATAAATGAATAAAATAAAAGGTCCATCAATATCTAAAAGAAAAATTTAAAATAATGATTTTAAGCACTTTTTTTCCTTTTTTAACTTTTACTTTTGAAACATTTTTGCAGTGATGGGAAAAACAAAGAACCAGTTTTACTAAATCTTGTCAGATGAATATACTTTTTGATGGTTAACACTTTTTTCAGGAAAAATATTAGTTTTAATTTCCCTGTGAATTATGAATTGGATTACAGCTCTTTAACTGGAAGTTTACTAGGCCTCATTACTTCATTAGAATCTAGGGAAGTCTAGCCCCATGCTGTGGCCACGTCTGTAATCCCAACTAGTATTGAAGCAGGAGGATCACAGGTTCCAGGCCAGCCTGGGCAACTCACCAATACTCTGTCTTAAAATGAAAATAAAATAAAATAAAAATGTCTGGAGATATGGCCCAATGGTAAAGTGCCCGGGGGCTCAATTCCCAGTACTAACAAAATAAATTACTAAATCCCTGGGGAAGTCTTGTCCCAAAAGATCCTACCCTGAATAAATGATGCAATCGAGTATAGGGCCTGAAAACAAAGGGGCTCCATAAAGATTTGCTGAATGAATCGTGATTTTATTAATTATTATTGCTACAGGGAGTACACTACAGTAAGCCAAATTACTACCAACACACGATGCCTTGGAATTTCGAAAGAATATAATACTACAACTCGATTTTTAAAAAATCGATAATTCTAGTTGCCTGTCACGCTTAAGTTTTTGTCCCTTGAGCGTGCAGGAGGAGGCAGCCGCTGGAAATGACCAGCGGTTGGAGATCTCTTTGCCGCATAACGTGGGCTCCACTGTCCTGACAGCAAACTAAGTATGCAAAGACTGACTTGAGGCAGGGACGTCGCCCGCCGAGGCTGCACAAGCCCACCCACGCCATCCGCGAAGGGCTGGAGTCCTGGCCGGCTTCTGGGCGGAGGGCTGCTCCGGGAGGTGCCGGGGGACACGTTTCTGCTCGAAG